GCACCTAGCCTTATCCTTTATATATCATCAATTGTTATTTTTCTTTTTTTGTGGGGAGGGGGAGATTACAAAATGCCTCCAATATTTTAAAAACTATGTATTCCTTTTCTCGGATAACTGTAATCCTAATTTAGTTTTAAGGCTGCCCGAAATGCTATGCATAAAAAGTTGCTTTCTATAAAGTAGTTGATATATGACAATCACCCTAACTGTATAATATACTATGCTCTTTATTATGGAAATAAAGTTTGTTCGTTTGTACAATTATAACAATTCAACATTTACAGTTATTGAAAATAGACTTGTTTCCAAATTACACCCAATTATACATAAATTGTCAGAAAGGCCCAGGAAAAAAAGGCTAAATGAGATTTTCCAGCAAAATCTAGTCCTACAAAATGACTAATGTGAAGGTTCATTCATGTCTTGCATAATGATGCAAACATGCCGTTTCCAGAGAAATACATGGCCACAGAAGACTTACCAATTAAAAAAAAACTTAAAAAACTCTCAACTGTGATTGTCTATTCAAACTTTTAGTCAACACTGGCAACTAGGCCAGAGCTAATTTTTATCTGTTACAGTAAATATTCTAATATTCATTTGACCTAAAGACTAGTTTCAGGACTAAAATATCATTCTGCAAGAGTTTTAAGTGCATTCAGCCAGGTCTGAGATGTTAGTGGTTAACACTTAATGGTTACATGCACATTTTGCTAACACTGACAGTAAAATTAGCTGCTTCAAATATATCTGGAAGTACCTTTAATTTAAGAAAAAGTTAGGATGGTTTAGTGTTAGCTTAGGATAAAAATTATATTTTAGCTTACTGTAATGAGTAAAAGAATATGCAAAACAGAATCCCCACATATACAAAAATGTGTCATGCATTTCTAATCTGGACATTAAACAACATAAATATATAAAACACGGACACTTAATCAGGTTTAAAAATAAAAAATACAGCTTTAAATAACTAAAGTAATTAATAAGCAAAGACTGGAATACAATACAGTAATAGGATTGATGAATGCAGTTTCAGAGATAAAATTGTTGAAGAAAAAGTTACCCTATTAGGGAAATGAATTCCTGGTGTTTAATTTACATTTCTTGATTTGATCCATTTAACTACTTGCATTACTATCTTTTAATGGTTTGAATTTGAGGGAGACATTCCTTGCTGATTAGTAATTTGGCAGTTAATGGAGAAGGAATCTTATCAGCTGAGGATTCAGGCTGACTCAACTTAACCACTAATGATGTGGAAACTAATAGATAACTTTAGGAGAATATAAATCATCTTCATCGCCTTCTTCCTAAGAGTTGACATCAATAGGCTGTGAAATTGATCATTTATTTGAGTGACAAAACTGACTTCTAAATGTAAATCACTGAATGGTTAAAAAAAAAAAAAAGCCATTTCCTCACATACTTCCTAATCATTGCTGGATTTCTGTCAATGCAGTTTCTTCCCTATACATTACCTATGAGCAATACAAAAAGACTATTTGTCACCATTTCCGAGCTCAGAGGAGCAAACAGATAAGCAAATTTGAATAATAATTGCCATACAGTACTGCCTTAAGTAACTAATATGAGGGCTTTCATAATCAATCAAAGCAGTTTATCCAAGCTTAAAGCTTGCACCGATTGATGTACAGACAAAAAGGAAGTGTTCGTGTGTAGGAAAGAAAACTTGGAAGACTGAGTGAAAAGTGAACATAGAATCCATTACTGGCGCAGTAACAGATCTGCCAACAGATTACTAATCTATCAGTGGTTCATGGACAATGAACACAGAAAATTTTACTTTTTATGACAACCATTAAGGAAGGCACAGAGATGCCCCTATTCTTTGATCCTTTTTCTTATACCATTCCTAAATAACTTTATCATCTTAGTAGAGGCTTGCTAACTGCTTCACATTCTTTAAGAGAACTTATCTTTTCTATTGAAAAATAAAATTTATGAAGTTTTTTTTATAACATTTAAAAAATTGCCCTAATGACAACTGTTTTCCCAATGTTAACCTATGCTCTTTATATATTCTAGTAATACTCTGTTCCATGCATTTTATAATTTCATTTTCTGTTAAATGCTGAAAGCTAAATAATTTATTTCCTTTGAGTTGTCTGCCAACAAAGAACTGTTAACTTCATGGCAATTAACAGTTGACACAGTAACCATATAGTTAACAGATATGATGTAGGGATTTATGTTTTTCATGGATATAATTAAATAACAAGGATGACTATACAACAATGAATCAAGTGTTAACAACACCAATTATCAAGGGACAGCAGTTGTCTCTAGTGACTCACTTACAGACTACCAAAGTATAAAAATTTTACTGGGACATTAAATGAGAAGCTAGAAAATTAGTTGGATAACAGGAATTTTACTGTAAAAAAAATAAATGTTGATTACTACATTAAAAATTCAAGTTGCTTCTATTTTTTATTATTTTATATTGATATAAACTGCAATGGTATGATTCTTATGTACATCAATGCTGAAACTTGATACAAGATAATTACACCTCACTGCCACATCCACTTTTTTTTTTTAATACACTGGCCTTCTCTCACCAAGGCAGGGTGATCAGAAAAAAAAAGAAACACTTTCATCATCATCCACACATAATCAGTTTCTGCAGAGGCACGCAGATATGACAGTTCAGAAGTCACTCCAAACAACAAATATCCCAAACCCCTCCTTTAAAGTGTAGGCAATGTACTTCCCACCTCCAGCTCAAGTCTGGCTAACCAGTTTCCCTGAATCCCTTCACAAAATACTATCCTGCTCACACTCCAACAGCTTGCTAGGTCCCAAAAACCATTCGTCTCCACTCACTCCTACCTAACACGATCACACATGCCTACTTTATGTCCAGACCTCTTGCACACAAAACCTCTTATACCCCCTCCCTCAATCCACATATATTACCATTACTGTGTATATAATATGAAACATTTTACATGTGGTGTATTTATTCAGTAAATGCATAAAAGAAGGAAAATTACCTAGGAACTGGCAGAGAGCATGCATGGTTCCTCTGAATAAGGGAAAAAAAAAAAGAGAGATCATAAGAATTATACATGAATAAGTCTGCTAAGTACACCAGGTAAGGTGTATGGTAAAATTATTACTAACAAAGTAGGATGTTTGACAAACAAAGATTTAGAAAGCATAGGGGACATGTAGACCAAGTGTTTACATCAAACCATTTAAGTGAGAAGTACTTAGATAAAGGGTAAGTAGTTCACTAAATTTTTGGATTTAGAAAAGGCATATGATAGGATGGATAGAGGAGCAATGTTGCAAATGTATGGAAAATATGGTAGACTACTAAAAGCAGTTACAGAAAGTGAGATACAAGTTGGGGTATAAAGAGGAGGGACAATTTCCCATTAAGATTAGAACTTAAGACAGGAATACATAATATCACCTTAGTTGTTCAAATTATTTATAGACGGGGCAGATGACAGATTGGATAGGGGAGCAATATGGCAAATGTTACATGTATGAAATAGATTGTAATTACTAAAAGTAGTAAAAACTTTTTGTATACAGAGAGAGGCTCTGGTTAGGGTATAAAAAGGAGGGACAATTTCCCAAAGAGAGTAGGACTTAGATCAGATTACATAATGTCACCCTGGTTGTTTAACATTTTTATAGACGAGACAAAGAAGTGAATGCTAAGGTGTTTGGAGAGAGATGTGGAAATCTGATACAAAGTGGGAGTTGTAGCAGTTTCTCTTTGCCAGTGACAGTTCTTCTGGGAGATTCTAAAGATAAGTTGCAAAAGTTGATGGGCAAACCTGAGAGGGCACGTAAAAAGAAAGAAACTAAGCGAACATTGAAAAGAGCAAGATGATGAGAGTAACTAAATGTCTAGACAATGATAAGATTGGATATCATATTGGAAAGAGGGAGTATGGAGTATGTAGATTTATTTAGGTACAGTAGTACCTCGGTACTCGAACAGCTCCGGTATTCGAATGCTTTGTTCAGTAAAAAAAATTGTTCGGTAGTCAACCATTTGCTTGGCACTCGACCAAACAAACACGACCTGCCAGAACATGTAAGCTAAGACAGGTCACATGTGTGGGTATTCCTGCCTGAAACAATGTGTGTCAGTCTCCCCGCAGCTGTTGCTATGAACAGATGGAGGGAGGGAATAAAAGAGGCTTTGAGTTTTGGGTGCCTGGGCATGTCAGATAGGAGTGAATGGAGACAAGTGATTTTTAATGAATGAGGAGAAAGGTAACTTTCAAGAAGAGAGTCTGGGAAAATGTTTAGCCAGACTCGAGTTCTGGAGGTTGAAAAAGCAGTGCTTGCATTCTGAAGGAGGGGTGAGGAAGCTGCAGTTGGAGAGCAATCTGAAATGTGATGTCAGCACACTAAGACAGTGACTGAATGAATGATGGTGAATGTGTATTCTTCTTTGGGTCACCCTGCCATGGTAGATGGCCAATGAGGTAAAAAAAAAAAAAAGTGCTTCACATATAATATGGAAGGCAATGACCACAATCATGGTACAGTATAGCACGTCATTTAAGTACGTACATATGTAATGACTTGCTCAAAGATAGTTACTGAGCAGTATTAAGAAATTTTTAAAAGATCAAACCAATGTTTTAATGAATGTAGCCACTCCATGCACTAACACTAAGGTCTGCGGGTGCAAATCACTCTTCGATCCATCAATGCTCTCTAGATGTATTCCTCAACATACAGTACTTTATACATTATCAAAATACAAAAAGAGCCACCATTATAAGTTGTATCTTGAAATTAAGAAATAAATACTGCATTTGAAATAAAATGGTCCTATAAAGTACTTCTCTAAATGTGTCAAGAAACTAAATTCATCCCAGCTCTATGAAGGCAATGAATGGATCTTATGATTACTAAGCGAATATACCAATAAAATCATTAAAATTTTTAAACATCATGCAGCACTCACTTTGTTTTGCAATGAACATCAATGTACTTACAAGGTTCTTTGAGATATCTGAAGAACTTGTTACCACAGCATCAAATTTAGAAGTGGAGGGGGAAGTTATGATGCTTGAGGGAATGTCAGGGAACTTAACATTTGTTTTATCTGATTTAAAGTTTTCAAGATCTGCAGGAGAGTGAGGCACATAGTGAATCTCTGTAGGCTGTGGTCCTGAAGGTGTTTTTTTGAAGTCAGCAGTTACACATGGTACGTAATGAATAGCATACAATTCTTTTTTTTGATTTTCAGGAAGTTTAGTGCCATAGTTAATATCCTTACTCTCTGAGACTGGAACATGAACTTGTGCTTCAATGTTACTCTCTGTTTTTTTGTCTGAGGTTTGATGTTGAGATACATACTCAACTGATTTCTGTACTTTCTCAGATTTTACAATTTCCTTAATATTTATTGTTTTTTGTTCACTATTATCAGTTGCCATGTTCTCTGATCTTGCTATCACCTCAGGGATTCCTTGATCTACTGGTACATGAGGAACATAATGAAGGGTGATATCATGTGCTTTTTTATTTTGAATTTCCACTTCTTTAACAGGGAAAGTTGTTATTTTCTCTTCCTCATCTGATGTAATATCAGTTTCCTTCATACAACTTAAACTGCTTTCTCTATTGGTCAGGTTTTTGATCATCTGTTCTTTTGACAAAGTAACTGTAACTGGAGAAACTGGGACATGAGGTACATATAAAATTTTACTTTTCTTGCCTTCCAAGTCTTCTTGTTTAATGCAACTTTCTTTATTTGTGAATTTAATTTCCTCTGGCTTAGTAGACTCTGCAGTTGTTACTAAAGGTGCACTCACTTTACCAAGAACTTGACAGGACTTAATATACTTCTCAGGAACTGTTCTATCTTCATAATTAACTGGTACTGAATATATGTTTGGTTGTTCCTGTTTAGAATTACTAATTCTTGGAACAATTTCCTTCGGAGATGGAAACTTTTCTTCTGGTATCATTCTTAATATATCTGATGGAGCATGAGGAACATAATGGATTTTTGTTTCTTTGTTTTGTACTGTACTCACATTAGTTTCCATTTGTCTGGTAGTTACTATTTCTGTTGTCTCATTAATTACCCTTGTAGAAGTTTCTTCTTTAATTATATTTGTCTCCTGTGGGATTAGTCTTGAGTTATCAGAGGATTGCTGAGATGCAGACTTTTTCTCCTGAAAAATCATTTCAGTATCCACAGGAACATAAGGAACATAATGAATAGCTGTCACTGGTAATTTACTTGAAGATTTCTGCTCTGCACAATATTCTTCTGGGTTTACATCAACCTCTTTTTGTATTATACCAGCAGCTTCAGGTAAATCACTGACCTGTTGAATAGGTAATTCATCTTCATGCATAGTGCAATGAGACCAAACAATCTCATCATGCTTTTCTTCAAGCTTTACTGCAATATCAGATTTTAATTTCCAAGTTTTATCTTCTACTCTGGTTACCTGAGATTTAGGTGTGTACTGAACTTTAGTTATTTTGTCTTGGTTTAGAACAGTTTTAGCAAATTTGGGTTTGGGCTCTTCCTTACTATCATCTTTTTTAACAATATCATATTTAATCAGTGAAAGCAAAGAAGAAACATTACTATCTACTTCTGGTTTTGTCTCTATTTCTGCTTTCTTAACATCTTTCACACTGGATATTGTCTGAGGAATGTTTTGCAATTTATCCAGGCTCAAAGATAATTCAGAAGTCTCCTCACCTCCCAAATCTACCATGTCTTTGTCCTGTTTGGAGGACTGGGAAACAGAAATAACTTTATCTTTATCACAAACTGAATTTGGTAAGTTGGCAGTGTATGAAGCTCTAGTAATTTCAGACTTCTCCAAAGTTCCATTCACAGTTTTCTGACTTACTGTGTGGTAAGTGCATGAATTAGATTTTTGTAGTGCTTTTTCTATGTATTCCTTGTCAGTAAAACTTAAAATTTCAGTAAGGAAAGTGCCCCTATTGACTGAATCATCTGGTATGCCATAATCTTTTTTCATTTCTTTTGTTTCCTTATATTCTATATCCATTAAAAGATTATCAAGGCTTCTACCTCTTGATGAATAACGTGAACTATTTAAAAGAGAATCAAGTGAAGATTCCATTTTTAACTCCTCCAATCCCCCCTCCTCATGAGGGATCTGTTTTTCTTCTGTGTCTTCTATTGAAACGTTGAGATCACTGCGGGTACCTATGACAGTAACTGCCACACCATACTTATCTTTGACATCTACAGAGGTTTCAATATCAAAATATGAGAGAGCCTCAGACAAACAATCATCCTCCACAGTATTTGTTGCGAATGTATAGCCAGTGGGTATGGCAGATTTTATACCTTGAATAAATGCAATATCACCAGTTGATATTTCTCCAAAATCACTTCCCTCGCCTGACTGGCTGTTAATCACATAGCCTGAGATTACTGAAGGATCTATCAATGCAGCTTCACAACCTAAAGGCAATCCCTCCTCTGAGATTTCTGATGTCACTTCCATATTATCCAGAGTTTCTCCACTTACTTCAGATGAATTTGATTCCTTTGTTACAGTGCCAGCAATAACTGCCTTGACGGTTGTTAGTACAACATTCGCTGAGCAACTTTCTTGCCCACTTGCTAAAACTTCCTTAGCACAAGCAAATCTTTCAATACAAAGAGTTTGCTCTTCCTCCAGCAGTATTTCAGAAGGAGCAAATTCCATTTCTACTGAGGCTGTTGATATTTTCCTATTAATTTCATCACAGAGGTTATTTGAATATACTTGTTCTCCTTGAACAGTGGCATTTTCATCTCGATATGGAGAACCTTGAAGAACTGTTTCTGGTGATACGAGAATAGCCTCTTTCAGGCCTTCCATGGCTCTTTCTGATACACTCCGTTTCATGGCAAATGACATTACATTTACTCCTTGTATTCCCAAATCTTCGGTTATTTCCTGAGGCATTATTTCAAAATCTTTAATTGCTGTAGATAACTTCCTTTCAGTTTTATCTGTTACTGTAGTGGTACCTGCTAAAGGTGAAGAGTTTTCCAAGCTTTTTTCTACAATCTCAGCACTAAAATCTAAATCTTTTATTGGAACTACATCACTAACAGCAATTCTTGTTTCCAAATTCTCTTCCAATGAAACATGCATTTCTTCTGGAAATGTGAATGCTTCTTCTTGCAGCAGTGGAGCAGATATAGCTGATATAGCATCTTGTGGAGAAATGACATATTTTTCTGATACAGTAGAGGCTTTTCTTTCAGTTGTAACAATGTCCTTATTACCCGAAGCAGTAAGAGAAACGATTTCAGATGCTACAACCTGATCAGTAAATGATGGAGAAGTTGCTATGTATGTTTCCTTTTCATCAGCAAAGGACTGGGTAGGGAAAGATGACATCTCAAGAATACCAGCAATTTCATCCCCAACAAGCTCTATATCCAATGAAGCTATAGATATTTTATGAACTTGGTTTCTCGCATTTCCACTGGGAAATGAAGCTTCTGCACAAACATGCCCATCAATCAACTGTACTGTATGTGACACTGTTACTATGTTGTCTGTAGAATATTCCTCAAGTGCTACTGCAGCTTGTCTTTCAAAAGCAAAAGAGCCAGCTGTTAAGTCTAATGAATCAAAAGAAGTAGCAACCTCTTCTGCAGAAATGTCAATTTCAACAGAAGCAGTTGATATTTTACGCTTGAAGTCATCTGAATGATTTGAAAAGTCTAAAGCTGATTCTTCAATACAGACAGATTTGACTTTTTCAACATCAAACAATACATTTTCTCCTATAATACTATGAACATCTTGTGCAGTCTGATACGAGGATGATTCTATTTGCCTTTCAATGTCCATTATGACCTTGTGTGGGGCAACCACAGTAGTCTGAGATTCAGTTAACAAACTGTCTTCTTTATGTGATAACACTTTCCTGTTAGTATAAGTTGCAATACCTTCTTTGAAAAAAGCATGAGCTGCTGGTGATAAACTTGCATTCAGCTCCTCAGTTAAATGTGTGTTATCTTTCTCTCTGCCGTCACTGCACTGAGTCTTAGTTCTTATCTCTGGTAACAGAGGCAAATCCATCTTTTCCTCAGGATCTTCAACTTGATATGTGATTTCAATAACAGATCCACTTTCAATATCAGCAGCATTAATAACTTCCATGTGACATGCATTTACAACAGAGTCATCTGAAGCATGTCCTGGCAGTCCAGTTGGTTTCTCCACGGTTTCCATCTTTGGAACTGTCATATTTTGAGTCAGCATCATCAGAGCCTCAGGTGATGAACCACTAATTAATTCAGCTGAATGTTTCATTTTATGTTCAAACCCTAATGGTAATTTTTTGTTAACCATTTCCATGGTCATCTCAGAGGGCACAACAGATGCTTCAAGTATGTTGCTTTCCAATTTAGGATTTTTATCTTCAATAGAAATCTGGCTCTCGGCTTCTTTGTAATTCTTAAGCTGAATACTTTCTAATAAATTATGTTGCTTATCAGAACTGCTTGGGCAACTGGCAATATCTGACATTTTGATGAATGACACAGAACTAGATGAAGGTACAGATAAATCTTCCACTGGTTGCAGAATGGCACTCCTCTCCTGCTTAATTTCTGAACCTAAACAAGCAATGGGTAAGAGTGACTGAATAGGTTCTTCGCATGTGCTAATTCCCAGAGAATTAATCCCTTCATTGATATTTACCTCCAATGTATGTACACCTAAAGACCCAATAGCTTGTTGGTCAAGTGTTTCATTTAGCTTTGCATCTGGGTCTACAATCACAACATTGTGCCTTGACAAAAAATCTAACATTGATGATGACATTCCACTTGCTATATGAGTTACTGTTGCTCCTGAATCAGTTACTGATCCAGGACTTTCAATGCCTTGCAAACTTTTGGAGCTTTCAACATGGTAAGGGCATGTTTGGACATGATCAGAAGTGACAGGTGAGATAGTAGGAAAAACTGAAGTCAGCCCTGTAGTAGAAGACCTAGTGACAGAGTCTATTGAAGAGCTGTCTATCTCACATGCTGAAGTTACCTGAAAGCAGAGTGGAAGAGTCTTACAACATCCAAATGGACGTTACAGACTGAATACATTTACCAAATATGAGAAGGATTTTGCAGCAGACTAAAGTTATTAAAGCAGCAGCAGTTTTGGCCAAATGTTGGCCCCCTTTCACCAGAGGAGGATATTCTGATTTTCGAGAATAATGTGACACCATGTTAGGATTACAACCAAATAAAACCACCTGAAAGCTTATCCATAAAATGACACTTGTGCTCTACAAATGTAACTTACCTTTATAATTTCTTCAGCATTTTCATCCTCCAAGGTTTCTGAGTAGTCTGGGCATTCACTGACAGTTGGTTGTCTCCCCTTCTCTCCAGAGACATCAACCTCTGAAGAATCGCCTGAGCTGTACACAGTTGACGAGTCTTTATACTCTTCTACCATTTCTTTCGCATCTTTCCTTTCATCCCTAAGCAAGGACTTCACATCTGAATCAAAATTTTCCTCTTCTACCACTTTTGCAATAACTTTATTTCCAGTAGACTCTGAAGCAGTGTTTAGGGCCTCCACTGAGCTAGGTCTGGAGATTAAAGTGACAAGTACAGCTTTCTCAGGTTCTGGAAGATGATCTTCAGTGGAGGCCACAAGAGTCATCCCATGCACCACCTGAGAACTGTGCACTGACACTTTCTGTACTGCTGTAGAAGAATTCTGGTTCGTTGCTACTGGGATGACTACACTCTTTTGCTCATATCTAATTACAGGTGGAACATTTGTAATGTTTTGAACAGTATCCTCATGAACTGAAGTAGTGGTTGTAACCAAAATTCTTGGCATTTCAATGGGCAAAAGTTCACTTTCCTCAATGGAACTTTTAGCTTGGGCAAATTCAATATCACCAGCAACATGAACTTCTTGCACAGTGAATTCAATAGGAAGAGATTTATGCTTTATGTCACATGTGGGAATTTTATTTGGTAAACTGGAGGTAGAATCATCTTTCTCTTGCATTTTTTGAGGTGATGCTGTAGTTACAACTTCATCTTCTGTATGCTGTGCTTCAAATAATATATTTGGCTCATTTACAGGTAAACTGATATCTTTATTTTCTTTCTCTGAGTTGCTATTCTCATCATCCATATCACTTAATACTGTATCACTCATGACCTCCTCAAGTTCAGCTATCATAGCTTGCAGTTTCTCCACAGGTAGCTGATCATAGCTCATGGTATGGCTTGCAGCTTCATCTCTAGATTGCTCAGATTTATTCGTTTCTTTTTGTTTCAGTGGATAAATATTATTTTTGTTAGAATTAAGTTGTACATTGCAACTTGAATCTTCACTAATTTCCTTGTCTACAATATTAGCATCTATTTTTGCTTCAGTTGGTGAAGCTAGCTGATGAGATGTTTTAATGTATACATGAGAGACTGCCTCACTAGATACTACCCGACTCTGCTGAGAGACAAGTTCCACAGTATGAGCTTCCTCTATCCTAGAACAATCTGAGGCTTCAATACCTTGAGTTGTGGATGGGGAGAATAAACTATCACCTTTTGAGGACACACTCTCTGATACAGAGTCAAGATCAGAAAAAGTTCCTTCTAGATCTCTACTTGCTTCTGAAGCAGGGGCCATGTCAGTATCAATTGATGCAAGGGATTCTAAATCATCATCATCACATCTCCTAATCTTTAGAAGAGAAAACCTCTCATCTCCACTCTGGTCATGATCAAGATCTTTAATGGAAGCCCTCCTTCGATTTCTCTCTACTGCTGTTAAATCTATATCTGTTTCAGCTACTTCTTTGAGACCTGCAATAAGCTCATCAAAGTTATCTAGATCAGCTTCAGCCTCACTCATCTTTCTCTTACGGTCCTTTGCTGGTGAATCATTAACAGTTAAATCATTTGAAACAAGATGCAACTCTGAAACTGGTGATCCATCGACTGGTGAAAACACAGATGATTCACCATCAGCATGTGAAACCACATCAGTCTGTCTAGAACAAATTGTTTTCCTTTCAGTTACTGTACCAGGGATGTTAAATGATAAGTGAGAAATTGTCGTTTTCACTTCCTCAACTTCAACAAGGCTGATCTTTTTGGGTTGATCTTTTAAGATTGTGATTTTAGAGTCAAGTGCCTGCTGATCGGATGAGTAGTGTTCAGTCTTCTTGTCAATGTCTTCCTTTCCATCGGTACATAGACAGTCTATCTTTGTTGTAACACTGTTGGTGACTACAGTAACACTATGATCATCTTGATGACTTAAGTGTTCTTTAGGCTCAACCCTCACAACACTGTCAATAAGAGAAGAATCTCCCCACATGTTACTGTCTGCTGAGGAATACATCTCAGGGGATTCCCCAGATTCTGCTCCTTCTTTTTCGCCAATTAAATGATCATCCTGTACATCTGTTGGACAATGTACATTTTCAGCATATAAATTTGATTTACCTGATGATACCACCTTTGTTAATTCAGCACTTTCTGAAGACATTACATTTGTAGAAGTTGTTGTAATAGTTGTTGTAGTGTTCATAACACTGCGAACTAGACCAATACTTCTTAGCACAACATTTCCTTCTTGGATATTTTTTCCCGACATATCAACCTTTGTGTCTATAACAGCAGTATCATCTTGTAAGGTGAACTGTATTGACTTCAATTCATCAAATTGCTGAGTAGATGGAGCTTGTAATTTGCTAAACACTGGAGATATACCAGTAGACGGAGAAAGCTGTGAAGAGTCATGGGTTAGACTGGCAGTAACAGAAGTTTCATTAACAGAAGCAATGATGGTAGAGAGAGCAGAATTGGTGTTGGTGTGGTCTGTTGATTGTGATCCCTGTGTCTCTGAGGTCAAGGGAAAACCTATGGAGATGCCTGTGTCTTGTGTATCCAGGAGACAATGCTGAAAAGATATACATTGGATCTTTCTCACCAGTATTAAAATCAGGCCAACTCTGAAATCTGCTGACTTGCTAAGATTTAATTACTACCTTCATTTGGAAAAGTATGGTGAGATCAAGCTGCTGCCGTAAATTCTAGTCCAGCAGAAGCAGTAAGGTTAACAGACCAGACACCGCATGTAGTGTTGATAGAGCCATGAAGAGGGATGTTAGACAAGTAACACAGAGTAGTAAAAGAGTGAATCAGTGGGACGATGGATAACTCCCTTGTCACCTTTCACCAGCAAAACTCCACATATATACACTAGAGCAAAAGTTTTGAAGCAAACGTAACCTAAGTCACAACACTATCCTAGCACAAGCATTGACTTTTTCATCTCCTCAAGTTATGCACTAATCTATAGCTTCTAATTAGGACTTGGTGTCAGAGGTGAGGTACAATATATACTCATTTTGAGAGTAATGAAATACTGTATACTTATAAGGAAAGTGGATTAAACTCCTCAAACATAACTGAAAAGGTTCACAGCTATTTCAAAGCTTATTTGTGTATCTAATGCTCAATGTAATATGCATTATGCAAAATTATTTTCAGAAAAACATAGAAATAGAAAATCATATTACCCACATAAAGCCACATTATCCCCAAAACACAGAATATCCTTAAAGACAGAAATAAATATTTATAGAAAAGAAGTTGTCTCACAAAAGACTAATATACAATAATAAGAGAGTACTGATAAATTTCTTGGTAAAAAGCTAGTATGTAATGCTAATGAAATATACATAAAGATATTAGTATGGTTAGATTTCCAAACCGCAGAATAATTTAGTAAAAATATTTGGAGGTGAAAAGAAAATCATCAGTCAACTTACTTATCAGCTAACTGCAATTATATTTTATCTAATTTCACAAATTCAATTAAAAAAAAAATCAGAGAAACACAATTACTTTAGGATGAAAGTTTAATACAGTCAAAGAAATAGCCAAAGTGCAAAGCCTTCCAAGCAACACATGCATCATGCACAGGCTGACACCACTTAAACACTGACAAAATGACAATAGCAGCAGCTTCTGGTACTTTGCCAAACTGGTTAATAATTAACCATCTGCAACATACATTAGGTAAATAAATCGTGCAGCAGAGAAGTTCACTAAAGAGCAACAATACTTTTGAAAAATATAAATTATATTCTGAATCCACTTTCATCACTAAACTTGACATGTCCAAAAAAAAAAAAAAGCATACAGTGCAACATACTACTGTATATTAATAAACACAAGCCTTAAAAGTTGAAAACTGTAGCATGTGATATTAACTAGGAAGGATAATGAGTGATATAACAAACACTAGAAATTACAGTAACTGGTTACTCAAAAATAAGGCTTACATCATTCCTTTAAAAATACTTTGAAAACTGCTCCTTCCTTGTAGGAAAAGACTCGATGTCTAAATAAAAAAAACTTACCTGCACAGTTCGGTAGATATTTTCCCACCTCTGATTTATAAGTACTAACTCAGGTTGTATGCGAGCTTGGAACAAAACTCCATGGTTAATCAGATCCACAGCTGTGTCACGAATATTTTCAATCTGACCCTTGTAGTTTTGGATTTCTGATGATACACTCTGTAACAGATTGCATTTCAAAGTTATATCCATTGTGCAGTGCTAAATTGTTTTTATGCCATGAATAAATTTGTGAGATGAAACATGATGACCAATAATCCCAAGATATTAACTCTTTCAGTGTTGCGACCCCTGCTCACAAAATTGCTCCCAGGGTTGAAGAATTTAAAAAAAAAAATTAGTTTATCTTATGAAATAATGATCTTCTTCCAAAGGTAATGAAACCAAAAGTACAAAATTTGATGCAAAAATTTATGGGCTTATGCTCTTGCAAAGTCAGCACTCTCGGCAATATCTAAACATGAGCAATTTTGCCCACTTTATGCTCTAATTTTGGCCAATTCTATTGTTCAAGTCGACCAAACTCATAACTGTTTTGCTAATATTCCTTCTATTCTATTGAATGAGTACAAGAAACTGCCATTTACCTATTTCAACTACCCAATAAAGTTATCAGAAATCATTAATTTGTCCAATTTTACACAAAATTCAAGAACTGCCAGTTTCAAAATAGGGCCCAGAATAAACAATGTAGACATTCCTGGCACCACATAAACATTTCCTCTGCTCCTCAGTGACATCTCCAGGCCTCTCTTATATTGCACTTGCTTCCATTTTGAATTTTTATTCACACAAAAAAATAGAAAATTTAATTTTATGCAGACTACTGTATTATTGTAATAATTGTATAAATAATGACAGTGCATTTCTAAATGCATATTAGACTGGCCAGTTGGATGCTTATTGGCATTGGAATATTGGCACAAATCAAACATTTCCATTAACCCTTTGAGGGTCGACAGGCCCTCTCCAAGGGTCAGCCAAATTTAAAAAAAAAAAATTATTTTTTCTTATGAAAAGATAGAGAATCTTTTCCCGATCATATTGACACCAAAAGTATGAAATTTGATGGAAAACTTACGGAATTATGCTCTCGCGAATTTAGCGGTCTCGACAATGTTTACACAACGGCGATTTTGCCCACTTTGAGCCCTATTTTTGGCCAATTCCAGTGTACTAGTCGACAAAAATCATAACTATTTCTCTAGAAGTCTATTTTTTCTATCGAATTAGTACAAGAAACCACCCATTTACTGATTTCAACTATCCAATACAGTGGTCAGAATTTAGCAATTTTGCCAATTTCACACAAATTTCAAAAGATGCCAATTTCTGAATAGGGTCCAGAATAAACAAGAAAGACATTCCTGGCACTAAAATAACATTTCCTCTATTCGTTAGTCACATCCCCAGGCCCCTCTTATATTTCTTTGGCTTTCCACTTTCAATTTTTTTCTTACAAAAAATAGATTTACTGTTATGCAGACTGCTGCATTAGTGTAGAAATGGTATAAATAATATCAGCGCACTTGTGAAAGAATATTAGACTCACCAGTTGACGTGTATTGAACGCTTGGCATGATTTGTTTACTTTTGAACTTTGGTAAAAATCGAACATTTCTGCTACTTTGAGCTCAATTTCAAGGTACTTTTCATTGTAAAACCAGTCAAAATCATCTCAATTTCTGTAATATGTCTTCCATTCTATAAAATGAGACCAAGAAAACTAGAATACAACAATAAATACCATACGAAAATACAGTGCAAAGTCGCTGTTTTATTCCAAAAACACGGTCCAAGTTTTTTTTTCTCATTAGGCACTGTGCTGCAGGATTTTTTTTTTATACTGCGCACACTGACCACATAGACCAATTCTTTCATATGTATGCCTACCAGCTTTCTCCCACTAGATTTGAGGGCACTAGAATTTAGGCGTACTAGTACAGTGGTCCCTCGCTTTTCATAGTTCTTGGCAATCGTAAATTTCGCCAATCATAGGGGTATTTTCGTATAAACATGGACTCGCTTTTCATAGGTTGACTCGCGAATAGTAGTTCGTCCGGGACGCGTATGCACGGTGTGAGCCGGGGTGGCCTCCCTACCCAGCCAGTCTGTCATTGTTTACCAGTGAGTGAAGGTCCCCTCAAGTGCTCCTACGAAATATTTCATAATACTACTCCACTCATTTTAGTGCTTGCAAGTACTAAATAAGCTACCATGGCTCCAAAGAAAGCTCTTTGTGCCAAGCCTGTGGTAAAGAAGGTGAGAAATATGTACAGTGACAAAGTCTTGGGCCATTTTAGGGAAGTGTTAAAGAGACGCCAGACTGTTTCGGTCGTATATGTACGTCTTACGAGCCACCGTGTTTGACGTATATATACTCATTCTCTCATGTGAGAGAATGGGTCTGTGTGGTCAGTGCGCACCATGTAAAAAAAAATCCTGGAGCACACAGTGCACAATGAGAAAAAAAACTCCGACCATTTTTTAATTAACCGTTTCAGGGTCCCAAGTCCCTCTCCCAAACTTGTTCTCAGGGTCGCCCAAATTTAAAAAAAAAATTATTTTTTCTTATGAAAAGATAGAGAATCTTTTCCCAATCATAATGACACCAAAAGTACGAAATTTGATAGAAAACTTACGGAATTATGCTCTCGCGAAGTTAGTGGTCTTGAAGATGTTTACGCATCGGCGATTTTGCCCATTTTGAGCCCTATTTTCAGCCAATTCCAGTGTACTAGTCGACAAAAATTATAACTATTTCGCTAGAACTCCATTTTTTCTATCGAATGAGTACAAGAAACCACCCATTTACCGATTTCAACTATCCAATACAGTGGTCAGAATTTAGCAATTTTGCCACTTTCACACAAATTTCAAAAGATGCCAATTTCCAAATAGGGTCCAGAATAAACAAGAATGACATTCCTGGCACTAAAATAACATTTCCTCTGTTCATTAGTCACATCCCCATACCCCTCTTACATTCTTTTGCTTTCCACTTCGAATTTTTTTTCTCAAAAAAAAAAAAAAAATTATTTACTGTTATGCAGACTACTGCATTAGTGTAGAAATGGTATAAATAATATCAGCGCACTTGTGAAAGAATATTAGACTCACCAGTTGACATGTATTGGACGCTTGGCATGATTTGATTACTTTTGAACTTTGGTAAAAATCGAACATCTGCTTCTTTGAGCTCAATTTCAAGGTACTTTTCATTGTAAAACCAGTCAAAATCATCTCAATTTCTGTAATATGTCTTCCATTCTATAAAATGAGACCAGGAAAACTAGAATACAACAATAAATACCATACAAAAATACAGTGCAAAGTCACTGTTTTAATCCAAAAACACGGTCAAAGTTTTTTTTTTCTCATTACGCACTGTGTGCTGCAGGATTTTTTTTTATACTGCACACACTGACCACATAGACCCATTCTTTCATATGTAGGCCTACCAGCTTTCTCTCACTAGATTTGAGGACGCTAGAATTTAGGCGTACTAGTACATCAAAAACCCTGGTGCATAAGCCGTACTAGTACATCCGAAACCCTGAAAGGGTTAAAATGCCGACTTTGTGGTCTATTTTCGTATAGTATTTATAGTTGTACACACAGTATTCTCATTTTCTTGGTCTCATTTGATAGAATGGAAAACATATTATAGAAATAGAGGTGATTTTGATTGGTTTTACTATAAAAAGAGTTCTAAAGAAATAGCTATGAGTTTGGTCAACTGGATTAATGGAATTAGCCAAAAATAGGTCTCAAAGTGGGCAAAATAGCCGATCTGTAAATATCGCCCAGGTCGCTAACTTCCCAAGAGCGTAATTCCATCAGTTTTCCATCAAATTTCATTCTTTTGGTGTCATTACAATCGGGAAAAGATTCTCTATCATTTCATAAGAAAAATATTTTTTTTTTTTTAAATTTTGCGACACCAGAAGACACCTCAGGATTGGGGGTTGCGACAGTCAAGGGGTTAATAAACACAATAAATTCTTTGTTAGGTTAAGTAAAGCAAATTATTATTTTACAACTCATAAATGCTTCGTGAGAAACTTTATTCTACTAATACCATGCATAATTCTTCTTTGTTCAAAGCCTCTAGTTATACCAGTGGAATAATTCATTGACACAAATTAGTGCATTTTATTTCAATAATCATTATCTTGCTTCCCTCTCTCATATGATATCCCAATTAACCCTTAAACGGTCCAAACAGATTGACGTTCAAATTAGTAGTGCTCCAAAAGTAGATCTACTTATTTTTACATATTTTCAAATACTACATTGTATAACAAAAAAAAAATGTAGATAAAAGTTTTTTTACACATTTTCAAATGTAAAACAAAAAAAGAAGATCTACATTTTTTTACATACTTTCAGATGTTGAAAAAATGTATATATACGTTTGGACCGTTTAAGGGTTAATTGACCATATTTAGTATCTCTCAAGGACATTTCAGTAACCTACAGTATTGGAAGAGTATTTGAAACTACAGTATGAGGACCAGATAATCACAAAGTGAAGCAGTTATGATAGAGGACAGAATATTTGGAAACCTTGAGACTTTCTGTATTTCCATAATTATGTAAAAGTGGGAAAATACCTGAAACAAGACACATAAAAGAAAAAAATAGCGGCAGTTTTTCGGTACATGTACGTACTGTACTTGTCATAATCTATTAAATTTATTGAGATATGAAGTAGGATAGGTACCTGGAGAATGAGATAGTACATATGGCTTCCTTGCCCTTTACCCCCTTTCCCCATCCCCACTCAAAAATGAAAAAATGGATGGACAGGCAGAGCGAGGGAAAGAGAAAGGGAGGAAGCAAAACAATTTAGTACCTTTAGTAACATTTAGTCAAGTTGTTCTTTTTGAAAATTTGTGCTAAACCCTATTAGACATAATACCTCGCTCCATCAGGCTTCCTTTGTACTTAACGTCCTTTCATATTCAGTATTACTGTATGTTTAATCATACACGTATACAAGAGGGAAGCAAAAGATGGCATGATATATAACACTTTCCCCTGCTATATGTTTTTCCTACAATTTCTCACATTAAGACAACCTCATGAAGTCTATATAAACTCTAACTGACCTTCTACTGTATCTGTATTAAAATTCATTGCAATCTTCTCTCAATTGTAACAGTATACGTATTGCAAAATAATTTATTCTTATTTTAAGCCTGCTGCTGTGAAAGGGTTAAGTCTACTACACTTATGTGCGTTATCACACTATACATACAAAAACTGGAGAAAAATAATATAAAAAATAGTGATCTAAAATGCTACTTCTACCTTGATAATCTTGTCTTGTTCACTGGGTTCAAGCTTTTTCAAGGCAAGCAGATGATGTTCAGTGCTCTCCAGCCAGCCTTTGATCTCACCAAGACCAATGATGAATCTCTCCATTTCAGCTTCCTTGGCTGCCTGTTCATCCTAGCATTTCAAATATATACATAAAATAATTACAACCCAACATGAGAAGCATGAAATTATAATATATATTTTCACCATATAAACTTTAAAGTAATGAATGTTACCTAATCATTTAATAATACAGCCTGTAGTAGTTACATCATAATGGGAATATACTTATAAGCATATTGATTTAAAATAATAGGCATTCCACTTCCACATAACCCTATTTTGAAATGTTTACAGCTTTCTTGCAAAGAACATTGAAGCATTCACTCAAGACTGTTAATTAGTGCAAACATATTTATGGTCTTATTCCTTAACAGGTAAGAATAACACAATAATATTATTTACATTACATTTACTAAAATTAACAGTAATAGAGATCTGCTAAATCAATAAAGTGAGTGAGTGAGTGAGTGAGTGAGTGAGTGAGTGAGTGAGTGTGAGTGTGAGTGTGTATGTGTGTGTATGTGTGTGTGGGTGTGTGTTTTGTGGTGTGTGTGTGTGTGTGTGTGGTGTGTTGGGGTGTGTGTGTGTGTGTGTGTGTTTGTGTGTGTGTGTGTGTGTTGTGTGTGTGTGTGTGTGGCGCGTGCGCTCACCTAACTGTACTCACCAAATTGTGGTTGCAGGGGTTGAGACTCAGCTCATGGCCCTGCCTCTTCACTGATCGCTACTAGGTCCTCTCTCTCTCTCTGCTTCCTGAGCTTGTCATACCTCGTCTTAAAGCTATTTATGGTTCCTGCCTCCACTACGTCACTTGCTAGGCTATTCCACTTCCTGACACACTATGACTTAAGAAATACTTCCAAACATCCCTGTGACTCGTCTGAGTCTTCAGCTTCCAAATGTGACCCCTTGCTTCTGTCTCCCCTCTCTGGAACATCCTGTCTCTGTCCACATTATCTATTCCACGCAGTATCTTGTATGTCGTTATCATGTCGCCCCTGACCCTTCTGTCCTCCAGTGTCATCAGTCTGATTTCCCTCAACCTTTCATTGTAAGATATTCCCCTGAGCTCTCGAACCAGCCTTGTTTTGTGTGTGTGTGTGTGTGTGTGTGTGTGCACGCTTCACACACGGAGGGCCCGGGTTCGATTCCCGGCGGGTGGAAACATTTCGACACGTTTCCTTACACCTGTTGTCCTGTTCACCTAGCAGCAAATAGGTACCTGGGTGTTAGTCGACTGGTGTGGGTCGCATCCTGGGGGACAAGATTAAGGACCCCAATGGAAATAAGTTAGACAGTCCTCGATGACGCACTGACTTTCTTGGGTTATCCTGGGTGGCTAACCCTCCGGGGTTAAAAATCCGAACGAAATCTTATCTTATCTTACTATATATATATATAATATAATATATATATATATATATAAAATATAATTATATATATATATATATAAATATATATATTTTATATATAAAATATATATTTTTTTTTTTTTTTTTTTTTTTTAAACAAGCGGCCGTCCCCCACCGAGGCATATATATATATATATATATATATATATATATATTTTATATATATATATATATAATATATATATATATATATATATATATATATATATACATATATATATATAATATATATATTGCTGGTGTCTTTTGTCTGTCTCATAAATATGCAAGATTACAGGCATGTCTTGCTACTTCTACTTACACTTAGGCCACACAAACACTTTTCATGTACACGTTTATTTATACACACTCATCAGAGTTTTCTTTGATTTTATCTAATAGTTTTTGGGTCTTATTACTTTTATTTTTAAAATCCATGGGAAGTGGAATAAGAATTTTTTCCTCCGTAAGCCATGCGTGTTGTAAAGTCAACTAAAATGCCGGGAACAATGGGCTAGTAACCCCTTTTCCTGAAAGTTTACTAAAAAGAATAATAAGAAGAAAATTGTCAAAGGGGGAAGTCTGAATGTGCGTGGATGTTGTGCAAATGATAAGAAAGAATGATTGTGGATGTTATGAATGAGAAGAAACTGGAAATGTCCTGGCTTTAAGTGAAACAAAGCTAAAGGGGGGTGGGAGAGTTTCAATGGAGAGGAATAAATGGGATTAGGTCGGGGGTTTTTCAAACAGAGTTAGAGCTAAAGAAGGAGTAGCAATAATGTTGAAGGATAAGCTATGGCGGGAAAAGAGGGACTACAAATGTAAAAATTCAAGGATTATGTGGAGTAAAATAAAGTTGGATGTGAAAAGTGGGTTATAGTAAGCGTGTAGCACCTGGAGAAGAAAAAAAAGTGTAGAGGAGAGAGAGAGATTCTGGGGAATGTTGAGTGAATGCGTGAGGATTTTGAATCAAGTGTGAGAGTAATGGTGGTTGGGGATTTCAATGCTAAAGTGGGTTAAAATGTTATGGAGGGAGTAGTAGGTAAATTTAGGGGGGCCAGGGGTAAATGTAAATGGGGACCCTTTTAAATTTGGGAGCTATGTGTAGAAAGAAATTTGGTAATAAGTAATACATTTTTTATGAAAAAGAGAATAAAAAAATTTATACAAGGTATGATGTAGCACGTAATGAAAGTAGTTTGTTAGTTTATGTATTGGTGGATAAAAGGTTGATGGGAAAGGTTCCAGTATGTACATGTTTATAGAGGGCCAACTGATATATCAGATCATTTTTTTAGTTGTACTAAGTTAGAGTAAGAGGTAGATGGGAAAAGGGGAAAGTTGGCAACAACAAGAGGGAGGTGAAAGTGTATAAACTAAGGGAGGAGGAAGTTCGGAGAAATCAAGCGACTTTTGGCAGAAAGGTTGGGCTAGTGCAAACATGAGTAGTGGGGGGTTGAGGGTGGATGGAATAGTTTTAAAAATGCAGTATTAGAATGGGGGGCAGAAGTTTGTGGTTATAGGAGGGTGGGGGCAGGAGGAAAGAGGAGTGATTGGCGGAATGATGAAGTAAAGGGTGTGATAAAAGAGAAAAAGGTAGCTTATGAGGGGTTTTAAAACAAAGCAGAAGTGTTATAAAAGAAGGCAGAGTATATGGAGGGGTAAAAGAAAGATGAAGAGAGTGGTGAGAGAGTGCAAAAGGAAGCAGATGATAGAGTGGGAGAGGCACTGTCAAGAAATTTTAATGAAAAATAAGAAAAAATTTTGGAGTGAGTTAAACAAGTTAAGAAAGCCTGGGGGAAAGTATGGACTTGTCAGTTAAAAAACAGAGTAGGGGAGTTTAGTAGATGGGGAGAGGGAGGTATTAGGTAGATGGCGAGAATATTTTGAGGAACTTTTAAATGTTGAGGAAGAAAGGGAGGCGGAAATTTTTCATGCACTGGCCAGGGAGGTATACCATCTTTTAGGAGTGAAGAAAAAGCAGAATGTAAGTGTGGTGGAGGTACGCGAGGCATTACGTAGAATGAAAGGGGTAAAGCAGCTGGAACTGATGGGATCATGACAGAAATGTTAAAAGCAGGGGGATATAGTGTTGGAGTGGTTGGTACTTTTATTTAATAAATTTTATAAAGAGGGGAAGGTACCTAGGGATTGGCAGAGCATGTATAGCCCTTTTATATAAAGGGAAAGGGGACAAAAGAGAATGTAAAAATTATAGAGGAATAAGTTTACTGAGTATACCAGGAAAAGTATAAGGTGGGGTTAAATAATTGAAAGAATTAGAGGGAAGACAAATGAAGGATTGCGGATGAGCAGGGGGTTTCAGAGTGGGTAGGGATGTGTAGATCAAGTGTTTACATTGAAGCATATATGTGAACAGTATTTAGATAAAGGTAGGGAAGTTTTTTATTGCATTTATTGGATTTAGAAAAGCATATGATAGAATGGATAGAGGAGCAATGTGGCAGATGGTTGCAAGTATATGGAATAGGGGGTAAGTTACTAAATGCTGTAAAGAGCTTTTATGAGGATAGTGAGGCTCAGGTTAGGGTGTGTAGAAGAGAGGGAGAATACTTCCCGGTAAAAGTAGGTCTTAGACAGGGATGTGTAATGTCACCATGGTTGTTTAATATATTTATAGATGGGGTTGTAAAAGAAGTAAATGCTAGGGTGTTCGGAAGGGGTGGGATTAAATTATGAGGAATCAAATTCAAAAAAGAATGACACAGTTACTTTTTTGCTGATGATACTGTGCTTATGGGAGATTCTAAAGAAAAATTACAAGGCTAGTGGATGAGTTTGAGAATGTGTGTAAAGGTAGAAAGTTGAAAGTGAACATAGAAAAGAGTAAGGTGATGAGGGTATCAAATGATTTAGATAAAGAAAAATTGGATATCAAATTGGGAAGGAGTATGATAGAAGTGAATGTTTTCAGATACTTGGCAGTTGACGTGTCGGCGGATGGATTTATGAAGGATGAGGTTAATCATAGAATTGATGAGGGAAAAAAAGGTGAGTGGTGCGTTGAGGTATATGTGGAGTCAAAAAACGTTATCTATGGAGGCAAAGAAGGGAATGTATGAAAGTATAGTAGTACCAAAACTCTTATATGGATGTAAGCTTGGGTGGGGAAATGCAGCAGCAAGGAGACGTTGGAGGCAGTGGGGATGTCCTGTCCCAAGGGCAATGTGTGGTGTAAATATTATGCAGAAAATTCGGAGTGTGGAAATTGGAGAATGTGTGGATTAATAAAAGCATTAGTCAAGGGCAGAAGAGGGGTTGTTGAGGTGGTTTGGGCATTTAGAGAGAATGGATTTAAAGTAGAATGACATGGAAAGCATATAAATTTTATAGGGGAAGGAAGAAGGGGTAGGGGGCGCCTCGAAAGGGGTTGGAAAGAGGGGGTAAAGGAGGTTTTGTGGGCGAGGGGCTTGGATTTCCAGCAAGCGTGCATGAGCGTGTTAGATAGGAGTGAATGGAGACGAATGATACTTGGGACCTGACGATCTGTTGGAGTGTGAGCAGGGTAAAAATTTAGTGTAGGGATTCACGGAAACCAGTTATTTTCATATAGTCGGACTTGAGTCTGGAAATGGGAAGTACAATGCCTGCACTTTAAAGGAGGGGGTTTTGGGGGATTGGCAGTTTTTGGGGGGGATATGTTGTGTATCTTTATACGTA